TATGCGATTTGTTGCCCCAGACAAACCTTCAAGTGAAAGAGACCAGTGCACCAAAGAGAGTCTTAGAGCTGCTGGAGTAAAAGGCTACCAGGTTAGATACTGGGTTTTAATCACTTTTTCCTGTGAACATATTCTATTTGTATTATTTGTTTTTTCTCTTACATTTTAGGACGATCTTGATGCCGAGCATGAATTGAGTATCGCTACCGCTAATGCTGAATTCTATGCCAAACAGCGACTCTTGGCTAGTAGTGGAATTGTTCCCTCGGCCGATTTCCCTGTTATGGAAAATGCGGATAGTGATGACAGTGAGTTGGATGCTGAAATAGTCGAAATCGCTGCTGGATACGGAAAGAAGTAATTTCTTGGTCCCTGATCTTAAATGCCTCAATTTTTTTATTTTACTGAACTCCGATTTTCCATGTTTTTTGCACTTACCTTCATTTAACCTCAAATTTAATTACTATCGGTTAACCTGTTAATACTTTCGCTGTTTCTATTGTTCAGAGACGATTTGAGCAAACGTGGCTCTATTCAGGATGCCCTCGCCTGCCTAAATCCCATCCTATTCTCCTCCAAGGATTCATCTGCTTCTAGTTTGCCTAAAGATTCCACCAGCCTTACTCGACGGCTACCTACACCAGGCGATATTTCCCGCGCGATGCTACCCGGTGGCAAGCCTTCCGGCACGTCTACCACGGATTCCTTACTGGCCACTTCAGGCAATTGTGCTGACACGCGTAGAACTGGTCGTGAGCGTGACGGGTATTTTTACACCAATGTGCATATGAATACTCTCAAATTAATATTCATGATGGTCAATATTTGTCTTTAGTTTGTTATATTGAATATTTGTTTGGCAATGCAAGCAGATAACACAAAATGTGTTCCAACTGACTTGGTAGCAAGTTGGGTGTGAACATGCAAGGATTCTCGCTCAGGGAAATCAGATTGAGTCCCTTACCCTTTGTCAGGCTAAAGGTAATTGGAAAGGATGAGTAAAGAGGCTTCTTGTGAGAGCTGAAAAAGGATTGCTTTGGAGCTATGACCTTAGATTTCTACGTTGTCTCCATCACTTTGTTCTGCTACCCGATATGTCCATATTGAGCTTTCGTCTGTGGCAGACATCGTCAGAGCAGGATACTAGGCTTTACGATAATTCCCCAGAAACAAAGTCAAGAAAGGGGCTCGGATACGATAATACCTACCGCTTATGGCCTAACTTTTTCCACTTAGTGGAACACCTCATGATTTAGTTAGCTATTCTCTACTTTCCTTACATGCTGGAAGAAGAATAAAGTGGATGTAATTGTAACCGAACAGCTGCATCCTCTAAATCACTTATATATTTGATCCTATATTTGTGGCGTATGTAGTTGCGCTCCATTCTGTATTGTGTGTATGCATTGATTATGCTTTGCTACGTGCATTCCTATTTAGCGCGTTAGCCGTTTTGTTGATTTATATAGACTCTCGTATCTTTCGCTTACTGGTATAATCTCCATATATAACTAATCTTTCGGCTTTAGTTCGGTCTATCTTGTGTCATCTATGAACCGTGTTCAGCCAGTTCTGAGCCTCAAAACGTTTTATGTGAAGCTAACCTTTTATATATGGACAGGCATGCATTTTCCATATACATGCTCCATGCGGACAAAGGTTTTTAATAGCCGCATCTGGTGAATGGAATTTGCACTACTGAGGAAAGTTATATTTTCGTATACATTACCCTGATGTCCCGCTTCATCAGCCTATCTTCCTTGACCACTGGCAAGATGATAACATTAGGACCATATTGTAGTTATCTAGCCGTCTATCCTGCTCCGACTAAAGTTTTGCGCCATCATATTTGTCAATTAATCCTATTGGATAATTCTCAACCAAATTTATTTACAATTTCCTAACTGGGACATCTACCGAAGTTAAGCCTTCCTTTGTTGACCTTAATCTTCCTTTCTATTATTTTAATTAACTCTTCGAAATTCAATATGTTTATTTAGTAGTTTGCCAAAACGGCAAAGTTTTCGTCCATACACTAAATCAGTAATTTAGTGAATTTAATGTGTTGAACTAGGCGATTTCAATTTAACCATGTAGATATTTGAAATTTTTTTCGAAAAACATGATCCCATGGCTAGACCTTGTGCCTCTTGTTACACTTCAGCATTAAAGGCAAAATATCTACATTGCGTCATTAAATTTAATAGCATTATTGATTCATTGCTTAAATTTGTACTGGCTAAAATCTTGGATGTTGATCTTATGCTAACTCTATAACTTTTGCAACCTTGCCTTCAAGAATGCTAGTGTACACAGACTCCACATCAAAAATTACAAGCGAAGACTTGCCTTACTCGGCACATCATGCTACTCTTATTATCCACAATAATTCCATGCGGAGCCCCTTATGTATTTTGAGCAGACCATACACACTCAGGTCTGGCATCTTGTTGAAGTATATTCATTTTCAACTTATCCACTTCCCCGTTTAATAAATAGTGTCGCGAGTAGCCCCTAAGTCTATACTTATGGGTTTTTATAATGGCCTTGGTGACAAACTGCAATTCATTATCACCTCTAGTCTTCTTCTAAGAGACGGTTGGTTATACTTATTCGTTCTACCAATATTTCCTCTGTTCTTTTTACTGTTTGACAGCGCAAAGTTTAGGCTTTCTGAGATAAATTTTTCTGTGTTAACGTTCAGTCTTGTTTTGGATATGTTTAATACTTCGTCTACTTTGATTCTCATGCTCGCATTCCTGAACCTTTATAATTTTTATATTTTACCTGTCGAGAAAAATGTAGCCTATCAGCCATTGTAATTTAGAGTTGTTCAGACTAAGAGTGTCAGACAGTGATTGCCGTAATCTGCTTTTCCTCATAAAAGAATGAAATTTTATGATGTTTTCCTTAATTTAACATGAACTAAATCATGGGATACACTCTAAAGGGCTTGCTTGGTTCTATTAGGCACATTGCATATAGCACTAATTAAAAATTTAATAATAATGCCACGCGATAAACATACTTTCAAATAATGAATGTGATTAACTTTCCTGGCCAATACTTTCCTTGTCTTTCGGTAAAGTGAAGAATCTAGGAAAGTTTGATATTCATAGGTACTACCTAGATATGAAGAATAATTGGGTTTCGAGAAATCTAACATCAATCCATTTAGAGATTTTTCAAAATTCTTCTTTTTTTGATATATATGGCTTATGTACGGATAGCAAATTTTCCCAGATTTATCACTACACCAAGGCGTAAAGTGATAACTTCAAAAATGTACTTTTTATGAATGTACACTACTCTCAAGCTAAACGCTTAGTTGAAGATAAAGGTTATAGTAGTAAGTGGAAAAGTAGGCGGTTGAATTTAAGATTGGTTGATTTTACTTTCCACATATGACTTTCTCATAGCCTTTATCCATATTCTTTATCTAATTTCATGAACCTCTCCTCTATTTTCTCTTCACGTTTTCCTTCATTTCTCATTTCTATTTCTTCACTTAACCAATTTATATAGAGTCCCATAATTAGTCTTTTTTCTGCTCTTCAGTGAAGTTTCAAATCTCAAATTATCGGCTGGTGGTGGTTCGCAATCAGGCAACAGTTCCGGAGGGCCTGTAAATCCCGGACGGAAAGCGCCAGTCTCTCGCCATTTAGCGAACGTCTGTTCACGTGCCGAAATTCGCTGGCGGCTTCGAGAAGCCAAAGCTGCAGCTTCGGGCCTAGGTAGCAGTGCTAACGCGCCGTTGGGCTCAGCTCGGGCCCGGTTCGACGAATTGGATGCCTTCCGGCTAAGTGATTCTTCCGAAGATGCCTACGAAGATGATATTACAGACGGCTCAAAGGAACCAGGTAAAGGTACACGCTGAATGTCGAGCGCTCGAAATCTATAAGAATTTG